CTAGACCCTTCTTCAGAAAAAAAAATTCTGAAGAAGGGTCTAGGCCCAAAACGTCAGCTTTCCTGCTCCTCTGATGCTGCTTGGCCTGCTGTGTTCATCCAGCTCTACACCTTGTTATCTCAGATTCTCCAGCATCTGCAGTTCCTTCTATCTCTGTGACTGTTGAGTGCTGTGTGGATCAGTGCTGGAGCCTTAGCTGTTTGCAGTTTACATTAATGACTGGGACAAAGAGACATAGAGTAATGTACCAATTTTGCTGACAATACAAAGCCAAGTGGGAATACTAACAGTGAGGAGGACACCGGGAGCAGCAAAGATACAGGTTAAGTGTGAAGTTATTCACTTTGGTTGGAGAAGTATAAAAGAAGAGTACTTTTTAAAAAGGCATGAAACTTGTAAGCGTTGATGCTTTGATGGTTAAGGTGTTCGCAAACAAGAAACAAGGCCATTAATTCCTGAGTACGGCAAGTAATTAGGCAGGTAATGTCACGCCTGTCTTTATTGCAAAGGGATTTGAAAACAAGATTAAGGAAGTCTTGTTTCAATTTGTCTTGTTTCAATTTTACAGATATTGGTGAGGCCACACCTAGAATTTTGCTCTCCATATTTAGGCAAGGATTTCTTACATTGGATGCTGTATAAGTAACAGTTCACTATATTGGTTCCTTTGTTGAGAAGGTTGTCATATGGGAGGTTGAGTAATCTTGACCTATTTTTCCTGGCATTTAGTAGAGTTAATTTCACTGAAATGTACAAGATTCTGATGGAGATTGGCAAAGTAGATTGAGAGCTTGTTTCCCCTGGCTGGGGACACAGTTTCAAGTTAAGTGGACAATCATTTAGGACTGAGATGGGGAGAAATCTCTTCACTTAAAAAGTTATGAATGCTTTGTGGTTGCTTGTTTATTGAGTATATTTAAGGCTGAGATAGATTTTGTTCTGACAGAATCAAAGGCTAAGGGGTGTGGACAAGTACACAGATTTGAGGCTGAAGATTACCCGTGATCTTATTGAAAGGCAGAGCAGGTTCAATGGGTGAATGGTCTGCTCCTATTTCTTGTGTTTTCACGTTCAGACAAAACACCAAAATGTAAATAAATTATTTTTTTGGTTAAGAGAATTTAACTCATGGATTGCCAAAGTACTTGGGCTTCAGAAATTTGCAGGCTGTATCAATGATACACACAACCAAGTGGGACTTGTTTAGATCGGGAAACTTGGTTGATATAGACAATTTGGACCGAAGGGTCTTTCCGTGTTGTATGACTCTAATACTCTATAAGGGGATTTAGTTTACATTTCTACATTTGCTAACAATAGAAATCCAGGTGGGAATGTAAGCTGTGAAAACAATGCAAATAAATCTGCTAATAGAGACAGGTTAAGTAATTGGGCAATGTAGTGATTGTAACAAGGTCAGCCAGGTGGATCTCATAGAATATGAATTCCTTGATTGCAGCTGTTAATCTGGTCCAATAAGGGAGCCATGGCTGACAGTATAAACAGGAATGTCAGAGATTCTGTTTACTCTGAGAACTGGCCTCTGAGGAAGCTGGATCAGTGTCAAGGATTCTCCACATGTAAATAAAGAGTGACTTGGTGACAAAATACTGGCCTCTGTGGAGTTAATTCAGGCAAGGAGATGGCAGATAGAGTATGATGTAAAAAATGCAAAATTATTCCACATTAGGAGGAAGAATAGAAGAGTAGAATATATTCAAGAAGATGAGAGATTTGGCATTCAAAGGTAGTTTGGGTGCCCTTGTACATAAAGAATTTTAAGATTATGGTTGTAGCAAGTAATCAAAACGATAAAGTAATATCTTAACCCTTCTT